ACACACCACAAGCCTCACCGAATGTCTCCTTGCTACCGCGATCTCGCCCACAGGAAGCCGCGACCGCGTGGCAGCAGGGAAAATGGCTGTGAAACCGGTTCGTAAGTAGAGGCAGAGTTCGCATGTCGAGGTAAATGTTTGGGGCCAGAGCTGGTCGTATCTTGAAAAATTCATAAGGAGGGGCGTTCGTAACTAGAGGTACCACTGTATGTGCATATACACAGCATTTCTACACCTTCCTGGACCTCTCCATGCATGTTGAAATGACACCACCCAAAATTCCAGGTTATAATCTCAACACATTTGGAGGGCATCTCCCTGGAGAAAAAGTTGCCACCTGGACAATAGTGTCTCTTGTCAACAATCCTCATGGACATACATTCTTTCTCATTTTTATCTTCACTCCAAAACATCCAACTTTTAGCTTAAGGATCAACTAATTTGAAGGTGTACAACAATCATTGCAGTGATATTCAGGAATGAATAAGAAAACAAAACTCAGTAAAATGTGAATTTCTGTTTATACAGTAAATCTTGAATTGACTGATTAAGCTGGGAAGGAAAAAAAAGAGAAGGAGAAGCAGAGGTACTAATACTCACACCATGGAAGAAGCTGCCTCCAAATTTTAAGGAAACCTGAATTGCTTCCATCAACTCCAGGAAGTCCTTGTCATCAGTGGAAAACCGATGTCCAAAAACTGCAGCACAGATGTTGTTGCACACTGAATTTGTGATGGGTAGTGCTGGATCAAATGCCTGCCCTGAAAATGAAAGGATCTGCATTACTATTCACATTAATTCTGTTAATACCAAAAATGGGATGCCCTGGTTGAGCTTGTTAGAAGTAAACAAAAGAAGTTGGAATTATTATTTACTGTTTATTAGATTAAAGTCTCTAACTTTCTGTTGAGAGTGAAGCTTTAATGCATTGTGGTGTAGCCTGGAAAATTGGAAAAACTTATCAAATGTCCTTGAATAATATCTCCATCTGAAATTCCTTTCCTGCCAATAAGCTTTTTTCAGGCATATTCAGGTCCACCTCCTCTATTTTGGTTTATCTATTATATGCTTGAAGAAGAAGGGGTCATGTATAGTAAAAAAACATAATGAGATTTGGGGGGGGGTCACACTGATGGTAAGCTTCTTGTGAAATTTATGCATTTGGTCATAACCATAAAAATTAAGTATTTGAAGCATCTATAAAATATATGCTAGATGAACAACCCTAATTTTTCTGAACCTAAGGACACATTTGGAATTTGAAAATATGTTCCGGACCACACTTAACTAGCCATTACATCACAAAATGGCCAGTTATAAAGTGTTAGAATCATCTCTCCCCACATGCTTTCTCTCTATGTTTGTGTACACATATAAATATACATGTTATGGATAGATTAGCATAACACTATAATAAAATTGGATTGGATAATTTATGTTTCAGCATGTTGCAGGAATAGGCCCATTGTATGTTTGAGTGGTATTTTCTTTTTTCTTTAGCTTTTTTCTTTCAAAGAAGAAACCTTTGACAATCACTATTACTTCTTGTAGGATCTTGCAACCAGCAACTTCAAAAATCCTGCAGGATCATATAAATATCACAATATCCTGCAAGTTCTTTAAAATCTTGTCTCATATTTCTTTCTTTCTTTCTTTCTTTCTTTCTTTCTTTCTTTCTTTCTTTCTTTCTTTCTTTCTTTCTTTCTTTTTCTTTTTTTCTTGCATGCATGCATGCATGCATGCATATACAACAAACCTTTGACTTGTTAGTTCTTTTGCAACCAATACTTTCACAAATCTTACAAGATTTCGTGACTTTACTAGTTCTCAAAATCTTACATTAAATCTCACAAGAACATCCACCTGATAGAAGCTATTTCTTTCCTCAAAAATATGAGTCTATGAAACAGTGGAAAGTTGGGAGGCTTAGAGACACAATAGAAGGTGCTGAATGAACTTAGTCATAAGTGAATAGTGACAGACCATTGAAAGATTTTTGCAGACTGAGACTCAATCCACCATCATCTCAAATGATCACATACCCTCTGTACGTGCAAAGAGCTCCACTAGCTGTTGGGTCTCCTCTTGGATTTGGGATTCCAAACCTTTTTTTCCCAGTCCCAGTTTCCTCATGGTAACAACACCAAACCGTCTTTGCTGCATCCAGACATGACCGTTTGAAAAGCCAATACCTGAAGCCATTAAAGAACAATCATAAATCATTGCTCACCAAAATTAATAGAAAGATATTAGGGTTGATAGCCTAGAAAATATCTCTATAATGTTCTGCTCCTACATATAAGAATCCAATCCCTGCTTTATATTTTGAACTGCCCAGAGACATTAGGAGTCAGGTGGATATAAATTTAGATGATGATGATGATGATGATGATGATGATGATGATGATGAAGAAGAAGAAGAAAAAAAAGAAGAAGAAGAAGAAAAAAAAGAAGAAGAAGAAGAAAAAAAAGAAGAAGAAGAAGAAAAAAAAGAAGAAGAAGAAGAAAAAAAAGAAGAAGAAGAAGAAAAAAAAGAAGAAGAAGAAGAAAAAAAAGAAGAAGAAGAAGAAAAAAAAGAAGAAGAAGAAGAAAAAAAAGAAGAAGAAGAAGAAAAAAAAGAAGAAGAAGAAGAAGAAGAAGAAGAAGAAGAAGAAGAAGAAGAAGAAGAATAGTAGTGTAGGCTTTAAAAAATGCAATCAAGAGAGGGAAAAATCATGTTTCTCTACCTAGAAAAAGCCATAGAAAATCTTGGTCTTCAATAACATAGAAAGCCTTGATTGTTACAAAGATAATATAAACAAGTTCACCCAGATTATGTGAGAGATTTGGGGTCATGGCTGACCTCGGGGGGGTTACTAGCTCTATCTTAAAGGTTTTAGACAGATTCCTCCTGATAGCACATATAAACTATCTGTTACAGCAGAAATCCTGAAATTAAAATAATATATAAATGGCTGGCTAGATTTTTCAAATTGCATATTCATTTTCGTATAAGATATGCTGTGCCTTGATTTGAGTCTATCAGAAGTCCCACATTTCATGGAGTGGCTCCTCATATAAGTCATCGCATAACCTCCCTTTTAAGAATAGTTTCCTATCACTTTTCTTGATTTATGTAAGCCCTACCGAATAGATGATGTGACACTTTCTTTGCCTCATAACATATGTAGTTAACAAATTCAGGGAAATGGCAGTTGCAGAACTGGCTGGCAAAACTGGTCAGCAGATGAAGTGGTCAGAGAAAACTTGTGCTACCCTTCATGTTTCTGTAGAATAGCCTTCTCTAATCACCAGATATTTTAATTCAAACCCTGATTGTTGGTCACACTGGTTCTGAATGGTAAACCAGCATAACAAGGGAGAACACAGTAATATCCTACAGTTTTGACCATGACTTACCTCTGTTTTTGGTAACAGCTAAAATAAAAGGTGTGAGCGGACGATCAGCAAAGGCTTCTGAATTGTCAATCAATCCTTTTTTCACAGTTTGGTATCCAGAGAGGATTATAGCATGATGACTCCCTACCCACAGAGAATAAATGTTCCCATATTGCTTTGCCAGCTGCAGTTTGGAAAAAAGAGAAAAGAAATGTTTTATATTATTCTAACAGAGTTTCAGCTTAATAGTAAACCTTCCATTCTAGCTTCTTGTCTTGTGACTTTTCATCTTCCTTTCCTTCTCTTACATCAAGGCTTGGGAAACTTCTGTCCACAGCTATGTGTGACTCGCAACACTGGTGCTGGATTTTGGAACAAGCTAAAGAAGCTACAGTTAGCAGCTTAGGGACACACACTATCACACTACACAGGGCTTCTGAATATTAAATGACTGAATGTCAAGCTTTATATAATTGGTTGGAAAAAATAAAGAAAAAGTAAATATCATTGAGAGTATGTGGTTTATACTGTGGTGATAAACTTAGTGTTGCTTGAAAGACAATGTTAAATTCAGGAGGGAAACACCCTGGTAGGCTGAAGGAGGACCTGGATACAGGGTGCTAGGTGATGCACAAACCATTGTTTCAAGCACAGAGGGTCCTGAAATGTCCATGCTGGGAGCTGTCATAAAATGTGGCTAACACAATACAATCAATGAGTTGGAAGAGACTTTGGAGACCTTCTAATCCAACTGTAGTGCCATCCCACATAAATGGTTTTCCAGCACCTGTGGTTCTGAACATTAGAATCTTTGAAAATTGTAAGTAAGAAATCATGCTGGATTTGCAAGATAACTGCTTTTGTAAGATTATTAGGGGGCTTTTTGCATCTTCATGAAGTATATGTAGGAAGAATGTTTTTAGTGCTGTGCAGCTTCAAGCTTCACATAATTTAAGTCTGAACATTTCTTAATCTGGCCTTGCCTAGCACTACATTTGTGGCCCTCCCAAGATGACAACTATCATCATCATCATCATCACCATCATCATCTTTTCTTTGGCACTAGAATTTCTTGCCAGTGGGCAGACTTAGTGACACCCAATTCAGTCCATCTGGTGTAATTCAGTAACTGGAGGTTGATCCAGAAGTCATTTCTGAGATGGCTTAGCTGCAGTTCACAGGCAAGGAAAGGAAGGACCCCCATGCCAGTATACCAAGTAGAGGTATATAACCACTTGCTCCCTCTTCCTGGAGGTCTTCTACTTTTACAAAATCACTTTCACACAACAACCACCACAAAATCAAATGGATTTCAGAGGATGAATATGCAGATAGCATTTTCATCAATCAAAAAGGGAATATCTGCTTTGTCTGAAGCAAACGTAGACATGGATTTATCTAGGTCACTTCCTTGGCCACAAAGTGGAAGTGATTTTCCATTGCCTCTTGCAGGGTAATTTTGGAACTCCCATCTCAGTTACATCCCTAGTGTTCCTAGGATGTCTCCCAGCCAACTATTAACTAGGCCTAATGTACATAGCTTCCCAGGCCAGATGAGAACAGACATGCTGCCACCTACTGGGATGAGGTAGCACTCATGCCCCAAAGAGAAATAAGTCCCACCTGAGTTCCTTAAGGATGGTTTCCACTTAACAGGTGCAGCCCAAGTCAGAGGTTGAGTTCACACATCGCATTAAATCATAATGCAATGCATTACATTTGGAGCAGCACATGATGCCAACACTGCTGTTGGTATAATTATTCAGTAAACCACTAAAGCAAAAAAGGACTTAGTGCAATATATAAGTCCAGCCCAGGACCTCTGTTGTTTACTTTGTGAAAGTGAGCAAACCGGTGCTTACCATATACCAGTCTTCCTCACTGTTTCCTTCCGGATGGGCTAGGACTACAATTTCCAGAATTCCCAGACAGCATACCTGAAGAATTTTGTCAATTATTTTTCTGAACCCTTGGGAAACTACCAGGTTGGATGTGCTTGCCAGTAAGACGTGGATAAAAGAAAAATAAAAAATGATTCTGCATTGGCCAGGCTCCACTCCAAATATCATGTCCAGATGTGGACCCCATACTTTGAGAAGGATTCATCTAAGGGACTCAGGAAAGGGCAGTGAGGATAGTAATGATACCAGGAACTAAGGGCAAATCCACATTGCTTTTTTATTCCGGGATAAAATAGCCCACTACCCATTTTCCAAGCACAGTTCTGCCTGCACCTTCCTGGTTTTCAGCGTCCCCCCCCCCCCCGCTGAAACGAAGCAGGGACACTTCAGG